TCACTTTGTAGCCCAGACTGTTCTTGAACTCACAATGATCCTCCTGCCTCAGCCTCCTGAGTGCTGGGATTACAGGCATGAGCCACCATGCCCTGCTCATTTGTTTTTGTTTTTGTTTTTGAGTGATACTGAGTATTGAACCCAGGGTCTCATATTGAGCCCCAGGCCTTTTTGTTTTTGAGGCAGGGTCTCTGTGTTGCTCATGCTGACTTTGAATTTATGGTCTTCCTGCCTCAGGCCCTTGAACAGCTGTTTTTGCAGGTGGGTGGCACCATGCCCACTTCTGATAAATTGAGTTTTCAAGTTTGGGGATGGAAGGAGTTAAGGAACAACAGGCTCCTGCTAGATACCAACTGGGCCAGTGCTAGGTCTGTCTTTACACCCTCACCCCTGGCCACAGTCCTTCAGAGCACTTATGCCAGTGCTGTCTCAAGGGTAGGAAGTGCCTCCTCAAGACCCAAAGCTGGCAAGTAGCCAAACTGGAATTGGCGTGCAGGCCCTTCCTCCTCTGTCTATATCCTGCCAGGCCCAGCCACCCTAAACTTTTATCTACCGTAGGAGCAAATGTCTTTCCCAGGTGACCCTGACCTTTACTGCCTGAAAGTGTTTGTTTGAAGCTTTGTTCCCCCAGTGCCTGCCACACTGACTTATGGTCCATGAACATGCATGGTGGTACCATTCCTTTGGGTTTTTGTTTGTTTTTGAGACAGGGTCTCGCTCTATAGATCATGCTGGCTTTAAACTAATTGTGTAGATCAGGCTGACCTCTAACTTACAGCAATCCTCCTGTCTCAACCTTTTGAGTACTAGAATTGTAAATATATGCCACTGTACCTGGTGGCTGTACTTCTGTCCTTGTTTAAAAATAGCCTGTTACTTTGTTGAACAGTGCTGACTGCCTGATGAATACAGAGATGCATGCTGTCATTTCACTCTTGGGGTATTTTTTAGTATAGTGCGCTGACAGACAGGAATTTGTGATTCATATGGGAGGTCCACAGGTGTCTCCAGGGTTTCTGTGAAGCAGATAGGAGTGCTAGGTGGGAAAAAGACCCACAGCAGGGTTGGAAGTCCCAGCAGAGTTGGAAGACATTCAGAAGTAGCATACAAACAGTGGCCTTGTCATGGGAGCAAGTGGCGTGGCCAGTGCTAAAGAGGGCTACTGAGCTGGCCTTGCTGGTAAGAAACAAAACATGAGACCAGGTGGACAGGACCATAGTCCAGCTGCTTCTTTCACCCATCATCAGTAATGTGATTTGGAGAGTAGATGGAACAGGGAACTGGAGAGAGAGGCCCATTAGGAGGGATTGCTGCAAAAGTTTGGACTTTAGGGAGTTGGAGGCAGCCAATGGAGAAATGAAGGGAATTTCCAGGTATCCTGCATGGGGTTTTGGTGCAGAAATAAGGATAGCAGGAGGTTTTCATGGTGTGTCGTATTCTGACTGCTCAGGCAACTCTTTTAAGATACACTATGTTCCAGGGACAGGTCTGGACAGTGAAGGCAACCTTGGACCCCTTGATAGAGGGAGTTCCAGTCTTGTATGATATATAAACCTCTAGAAGGCTCCAGTCTAAAACAGATGCCAGTTGAATCCTGACCGGGGGTTAGTTAGGCCAACCAGGGAGAAGCTAGTCCTTGGCCCAAGGAAGAGCTTGTGGAACCCTGTTCACACAAGGAATATGTGCTCTGAGCTGTTGTCCATCACTACGTACACCTTGTCAGTGGGCTGGCTGGTTGCATCAGGCAGGAGCTCTAGTCCTCTGTTGGCTGGTGCTAATGCCACTGTGACAGCCTCTAATATTTTGGTGACTGCCACATAAATCCCTGTTGTTCTGCAAGCATATGGTTAATAATGGACAAACTATGGCAGAACAGCTGTTTAGAGTCCAAACTTGTAAGCTGACATCAGTTTTCTCCCTGACATCTTCTAGCCAGCAGGTCCTTGTCTTCCCAACAATGACCTTCATCCCTTATTATGTGGAGGCTGCTTTCTGTCTAGGGACGCTTCCTTGTATGATAGTTTATCTTCAGTAGTGCCAAAGCTTGGCTACCTCTCAGTTATATCCCCAGCCCTTTAAAAAAATTTTTTTTGAGACAGGATTTTGCTAAGTTACATAGGCTAGATTCAAACTTGTGATCCTTTTGCATCTATCTCTCATAGTGCTGGGATTATAGGTTTATGCTACTGTACCTGGCTTTGTCTTCTATTTTAAGATCTTTAGACTAGAAACAGCAATAAAAACAATTTTTAAAACAGGTTTGCAGGACTGAAAAGAATGCTCAGGGCATCTTATTTTATTCATTAGCCATTAAACATGAAAAACTCCCTGGGCTGACTCTGGAAGGGACATGGGAGAGTGACAGGGTATGAGCTGCCTGCAGAACCCTGATATCTAGTTGGAGGAGCAGCTTCCTCCTCAGTTCTGATTGTCCCTTCACAGCAGCCCCTTCATGGCTTTTGGGCAGCCCCTTCACTGACTGCCTGCTTCTCCAAGTTCAGTTTCCTGCTGTTGAGGAATGTATTGTAGCTTGTCAGGATAGGCTTATTTCTGGCTTCCAGTGAGGTCAGTGGTCTTTAAGCTCTGAGTCATTAACAGCTGGCACCTACCACGTATATCATCTGTGATGTTACACTGGCAGAGCAGAGCAGAGCACAGCTTGACTTCCAGCACATTCTGTGGCATCTGGTGCACTGTGCCTGTGGCTAAGTAAGCACCTTCCTTTGGCCAGGTTGTGATCATCCCACCTTTTTCAGGCTACCACAGTAATCTGTGTCCTGGGGTTCATCTCTGGGCACAAGCCAGCTATCTTTGCTGTAGTGGAGACACTGTACCATCTGGGATCTTCCTGTCTGATAACTAGCAAAAGTGGCTGGTGGCACCACCATGGAAGGACTGCTCTTAAAGCCTGGCTTGACCCTCAGAGGTTGCTGCTATCCAGCACAGAGTTCATCAGTGCAATCACTTACCCCCTCAGATCTCTCTGTACTCCTCTCTTATGTTGCACCTGGCTGCATCAGTTTCATGACCTCCCTGCTGTCCACTTAGCCAGCCTCCATGCTGTGCTACTTGGGTGCAAAAGTTTGTTTGTGTCTGCTGCTCTGTCTTGAGACCTTCTGTTAGTATGTACCTCTGTGGCCCATAGCTCCTTGTTCTCTGTGAAGCTGGTTAGCCTCACAGTCCCCTACTGTTGTCAGAAGGTAGAAGGATGAACAGGAAGAGCTTGGGGGCACAGATAAGACACCTTCTGAAAACAGGTCTATTCTGTCACTTCTGTTGAAAATGCTCAGGGACTTCTTGGGACCTACCAGGTAACATCTCCATCTCCAAGGTAGAGTGCCACCCCATGCCAGCCTCATCAAATGTGCATTGGGTCCTTGCTGGCCTCCCACCTATGGTATGCCTGTGCCTTTCTTGTTTACAAGTCTAATCCTGCACTGTGTGTGGGCTGGTTCTTAAGTTACTGTCCCATGTCATTCTATTGTGGCTCCAGGAAGCTTTTCCCTTGTCCATCAGCTCCACCCCTGAATGCCAGGCAAGCAGTAACCTGTTGCTGCTTCTTTGCCAAAGTTTAGGCTTCAGGAAGCAGAAGGTAGGTGGGCATGCCAATCATGCTTATTGAGTAAAGGATCTAGCAGTATGTTGTGTCTTCCTTTTTCTTACATTTTTGCAGTACTGGGGATCAAACCCAAGGGCCTCCTGTCACTGTCTTATCATTGTTTATTTAGTATTTTGAGACAGAGTCATACATAGTGGCCCAGGTTGGACTCACTGGCAGAGCGTCCAGTGCTGCCTGAGCCTCTCAAGTAGCTGGGGTTGTAAGCATGCACCACAGCTTACTGTATTTTTAAGTTGTTTTGAGGCAGTCTCATTGTACAGTTCAAGTTGGCTTTGAACTTTTTATGTAGCCCATGCTGGCCTTGAACTTGTGGCTCATACCTGGCCTTTCTCTAAGTTCTTTAGGAGTAACAGGTATGATACTTGCAGTCCTACATGCATTCTTCTGTACTCTGGGCTTGGTTGATTTGTGGTTGGAGTAGTAAGAGTGCTTTCAAGCATCATTTGGGCTGAGCTTGTTTATTCTATGCAGAGCCCTGACAGGCTTATTTGTTCATCAACAAGCCCAGTGCTGAAAGGATAGGGAGGGAGGAGACCCACTCTACAGCAAAGAAGGCCTGCTGTTGAACAGACCAGAGGAGCTAGTCTTGATATGTCCCCTTGTCTTTTCTAGTGACTACAGATCCATTCTTTCTGTGTATGTGCATGTGTATGTGCATGTGCATGTGCATATATATGGGGGAGATAGTGTATACTATTACTCTGCGAGAGCTCATCCTAGCTTGTGTGCATGGCACTTGACTTGGAGCAGCAGTGTTATATAAAACCTTTAGCAGGATTTTCTCTCTTATTATACTTCTGTTGACAAATGCATTTTTAAGACATTTTTCCCATTTGTATGATCTGTCTCTTGCCATTCCTAGCTAGCAGTTGGTGAAGTTGGGCCTGGTCTTTTTGGTCCCTTTAGGAGAACATGCATTCTCTCACATAGGGAGGACCCTTGCCTTGGGAGACTGAGAGATGAGTTTTGTGCTGAGGTCCCATTGTAGTCAGTGGCAGAATTGAGTGGGAAACTAGGTCACTCAAAGGGCAGGAATTAGAGGCTGGCTGGCACTCAATGGCCTAATACATGCTTGGTTTTATGCTGATTGTAATCATTCTGTAAGGATGGACTTGCCTAAACCCTTCATACTAGTGGCATCCTTCGCTTCATAGTGACCACCTTTTCTATTCCTTTCTTCTCACGGCCCTCTTCTGTTACTACCTTGCTCTGCTGAGTGCTTCTCCCTTCATGCCTTTCTAGGGTCTCAGCTGGTTGGTATGCTAGGAGCAACATCTTGTCCACTCAGGGATAGCTGCTGTGCAAAAGCCTGCTGACTAGGGGCCCTAAAGAGTAGACCCTTTGGGGGTGTGTAAATATTTCTTCTCCTTTTGTGTTTCAGTGAGGATGCCATGAGGAAAGCTGGAGTGGCCCACAGTAAATCTAGCAAGGATATGGAGAACCATGTGTTCCAGAAGGCCAAGACCCGGGTAAGGCCCTGTTGGGTGAAGCCCCAGCAGAGAGGCTCAGGGAAGGGAGTATTGCAGATTCTAAGAATCTTTTTGTGGGGGCTTTGGAAGTAGGACGATGATTGTTCATTGTGCATGCAGTTGGCTTTGACTGAAGCACTCTCCGCTGTGTCCATAGTACACTGGGTGGCACCAGGACAAAAGCCTAGCCTTTAACTCTGGATCTCACTTGCTGGCACCTTCCATCTGTGGCTACCCCAAAAGGATCATGCAGGGACTCACTAAGACCCTGTTGCTCCTGTGGAAGGAAAAGCACTGTAAGAGCTGGCTCATTTCTTGTCTTCAGCTTCAGTAAGGGTCCTGGCTGAAACCCACAAGGCTTTAATGCATGGGCACGGAAAGGTTCCTCTTCCCTTTTGTAAAGTGAGCCAGAGAGTGGTTCTTGAGACTGAGGATTAGAACATCAAAGACAGAGAAGGATTTCTGCTGTGTGGGTTTTTACGCTAGGCTAGGTTGGACTTAATATGACTGCATCCCTTCATCCTTGAGCTCTTTTTGGGAAATCATTTTAATAGAAATGAAGCAGGATGACAGGAAAGAAATGTAGCAGAAGTAGGGAAAAAAGGAACATTCTTGTTAGCACATTGATAGTAGGGAAGAGCTTTAAGAGTATACATACGTGCTGAGGTGGGGCAGGGTGAGCTTTGCTTTGTGGATATGTGTGCTTAAGCAGTTTGTTTGTCTTTTAAGAGCATTATTCAGATCGAATTCATATACAGTTCATCCATTCAGAAGTTGTATGGATTATCACTGCAAAGTAATTTTAGAAACTCATTAGGACTCACACCCTTCTCTTCCTAGCCATCAGCAACTACTTATCTACTTCCTGTTGCCATGGATTTGCCCACTGTGAACTTTCCATGTAAATGCATATAGGACCGGGTATGTAGCTCAGTGGTAGAGTGCTTGCTTGGCTGTGTGAGGCCCTGGGTCCTATCTGTAGCACTGGGGGAGGTGGGGGGAAGCAGTCGTGCAATGTATGTTTTATTTGGTTGGTTGTTTTTTGCAACTAGCTGCTTTCACTTAATATAATGTTTTCAGGGTTTTTCAGTGAATCATATTGTAAAATGTATCTGATTCCTTTTTATTGCCAAATAATATTCCATTTGTGGATGAGTATTCATATTCTGTATGTCGATTTATTAGTTAATGGACATTTGGGTTGTCATGAATTTTGGGTTATCATAAATAATGCTGCTATAAATATTTGCATATAAATGTTTTGAGAACTTATGTTTTCATTTCTTTTGGATACATACCTAGGAGTGGAATTGCTGGGAAATATGGTAACTCTACATTTAGCTTTTTTTTTTTCAGTGCTAGGGATTGACCCCCAGGCCTCTGCACTATGCTATATCCCCAGACATTTGAAAAAATATATATGTTTATATGCATAGATGTTTATATATAATATATATTTACAAATAAATAAACATATATAAATATGTATTTATTTATTGAGATTCGGTCTTTCTGAGTTATCCAAGCTGAGCTCAGATTTACTATCCTCCTGCCTCACTCTGCCAGAATGCTGGGATTTAGGCAAGTGCCACTATCCCTAGCTAAATTTAACCTTTTCAAGGTCTGCCAGATGTTTCCAAAGTAAATGTGCCATTTGAAATGCACCAATAGGTTTTGAAGTTCAGTTTCTCCCCAGCATTTGTTACTGTCTTTTGCATTACAGTCATCTCATTGCCCGTTTCATTTACATCCACTTGATGACTGATGCTGTTGAGAATCCTTTCATTTGTAATTAGTATTTGTATGTTTTCTTTGGAGAAATATCTATTTCTATCCTTCCTTCTTTCCCCCACCCCCAACTTTTCCCCTGGGGATCAAATTAAAGACCTTTTCATTAAACTACATTCCCTGTCCTTGTCTAATTTTTTTTTTTTTTCTTTTTGAGACAGGATCTCACTATGCAGTTCAGACTGGCCTTAAGCTCATTTTGTAGCCTATGCTGGTCTCAAACTTGCAACAATACTCCTGTCTCAGCCTCCTGATACATTTTTTATTTTGAGACAGTCTTGCTAAATCTTAAATTTCCCAGAGTCCTGCTCAAACTTGAAATTCTTCTGCCTTAGCCTCCCAGAGTACTGGGATTACAGGCATGCCTGGCTCTTTGCCTCTTTCTTTCTTTTTCTTTTTGAAAAAGAATTTCGCTGTGCAATTCAGGATCGTCTGAACTCACTCTGTAGTCCATACTGGTTTTGAACTCAGACAATCCTCTTGCTCAGCCTCCCTAATGCTGGCATTATAGGCTGCTGAGTTTTACAGGAGTATACTACCATGCCTGGTCTTTTTGCCCATTTTTAGATTGGATTGTTGATCTTTCTGTTGTTGGTCTTTGTGTGTTTGGATGTGTCTCGTTATTAGATGCACAATTTACAGATATTTTAGAGATAGGATGTTTTTATTTGTTTTGTTAGTTTTTATTTTCTTAGGACTAAAAGTATTTTGATAAGGGCTTATTGAACTATTTGAACTTTTAAAACGTAGACTTTGTTGGCTCAATATTATCTATTAATTCATAACAAATAGCTTAGTATAACAAGTGAGTTTTGTTCTGAATTCTGTGGATCAGAAGAAGTTGAGTCATTTGGAATTGCCTGACTGGGCTGTTCTGCTGGTCTCACTTCTGACTTCTCTTGTGACTGCCTTCAGGGAGCAGCTGAGTTGAGGTGGACAAAGGCTCCATCATGTGGCTCAAATCATTTTCCCCAGAGGCCTCCACATGGTATTTTTATTGGCATAGCTCACATTTCATTGCAACATTGACTGGCTTCAAGAGGAAAAAGTAAAAGCTGCCAGTCCTTAGAGGTGTTTTGTTTTTTGTTTGGTATTGGGAATTGAACTCAGGACCTTGTGCTTGCCATATAGGCACTATGCCACTGACGTATATCCCTGTCTCCTCAGAGTCTAAAACATCATTTGGATACAGAAAATCTTAAGACCAGTGCAATCACTTCTATCTGTTGGTGTGAGCAGCATTTGGTGTGTATAGGGAGGCCACTGATTCTCATGGGGCCATCATAGAGACTTAGCTACCTCAGGGCCCTCCCAGAAGTTGAGGAATAAGGGGTTCATCACAAAGGAAGGTACTTAGAGCACAGCAGCCCTTTCCCATCACTGTTCACTTTGCCTTGGTCTCTGAATTACTTCATACTGAATTATGCTGCATCTTAATAAACTCACTTCATTTCCTTGCGTTAAGCTTTTTTTTTTTTTTTTTTTTTTTTTTGGTCTTTTTCGTTTTTATTGGTACAGGGATCGAACTCACGATTGCCTGCTTACAAGGCAGGCGCTTATGCCACTGAGCTAAACCCCCAGCCCCGCCTTTCGTTAAGCTTTAAATTTCTAATTTCTGAAGGAAAACCTGACTAATTGGAAGAGAAGTATTTATGAAAGCAGTGTTAGAAAATTCCTGTTATTTTTACACAGACAGACCTCATACTTGGACACTATCATCTGATGTCTGCCTTTTTACTTACTGCTCAAACTCCACATGGAGGTGTATGCAAATTAAATGCTATTGAGAACCTTCATACCAGATGGGCCCATGGAAGGACTCTCAAGGTTAAGCTGGTAGCTCAGAACCAGGCATGATGGTGCATACCTATAATCTTAGCTGCTTGGGAGGCTGAGGCAGGAGTATCACAAGTTCAAGCCCAGCCTACGTAATTTAGCAAGACCCTATCTCAAAATAAAAAATAAAAAAACAGCTGACAATCCATATAGCTCAGTACTAGAGTGCTTGATTAGCATGTACCAGGCCTGTGCTTAATCCCCAGCATTACAAACAAAAGAAAAAATTGCAGCCCTGGTACCCTTATACCTGCTCCTATTGCCTGAGACTCATAGAACAGGTATGAAAGAATTTAAAAAGAAGGAGCTTGGCATAGGAAAGGGATAGGGAAGAGTAGTGGTTTTTTGGTTTGTTTGTTTGTTTGTTTGTTTATCAGGACTGCAGGAGGAGTTGGGAGTTTGTGGGTCATAGAAGAATTTTATCAGTCTGTGCTTACTGGAGAAACAGATTTAATGCAAGATATACAATTGTATAGGAATTTACAAGATTGGCTTATAGTAGCTGCCCACAAAGTCAAGTGGGAAGGTCTTTCTATGCACTGAAGATCTGCAGGAACCAGTTGAAGGCCTGATGCTCACCAGTAATGTCTTATGAGAGTCTGTATCAGGAGGCTGAAGGGTTTGTGCTAGAATGCTGAAGATTCTGCACTGGAAGCCAGGAGATGATGTCCAGGGTGAAGGTGAAAACAAGCTTATGCAAAGAAACAAAAGCAAGCCTTCCTTCTTTGTTCCCATACCATTCAGGCAACAAACTTAATCAAGATGATCTGTTTTCAGTAAACCCCCTCATCCACACCCAGAACCAATTTAGTCAGGCATTTCTTATGCAAGTTGACACAGTTAACTATCACAAGGAGGGAGATGACTTTCCCTTGGTATCAGGAGGATGAGCTTACAGGTCCAAAAGTGCTACATTTAAGACAATGGGGTATTAATGAGCACCTCAGACTCTGTAGTGCATACATACATTTTTGTGTAATCGTCTAGAGGAATCACAAAATTACCAGAACTGGGCAAGTTATGATTAAGCTGGAGCTATCTCCCAAAAGTCTTATACACTTATAGAAAGGGCTTTTGGAAGGTGATGGAATAACAGGAGTCAAGGAGAGATGGTTGATTTGCTGTTAGGAAGTGGGGTCTGCTCAGAAGAGGCAGGTCACTGGGGGTGCTATCTGGAAGGGTGTGTCTCCCTTCCAACTTCTCACTACTTACTGTTTCCTGGCTGTGTGTGCAGCTCTCCTTGTCCTGTCAGTGATGGTGAACCTTCTAGAGCTTTCTGTGATATAAACAGCCCACTGTGGCATGTGCTCTAGGTTTTCTATCACTATCCTAGGTCCCTCCACTATGCCATTTTATGTTTTCTGTGTTTGAGTCTGCCGAACATGTACTGAAAGTTGTGATACTGTGAGCCAAAATAAACTTCTCCTTCACTTAATTTGTGTTATATATTTTGTCCCAGGAATGAGAAAAGTGATTTAGGGCACATGTCTTCAGTGTGGTTGTTTAAGTCCCCAAGTTAAAGTCTTTCCCTTCCTGACATTAGCTGGCTTCCAGATGCCACTCTAAAGTGATGTCTCCTTGAAAGGTCATGTCTTGAGTATTTTATGTGTGTGACTCCATTTGATCTCTCTTTGTCTTTTCAGAAGAAGGAAACTCAGGCACAGCATGCTAATTGCCTTACCCATAATGTCACTGGGCTGATTAGAGAGCTGGGATATGAGCCTGTGAGTCTTTTAGAGCTGACCCTGTTTGCTAGGTCTCTTACTGATTGCTATTTACCAGAGCAAAAGATATCCAGATACCTACTTTAATTCCTGTGGTTGGAATTTTCTGTCTAAAAGAGGCTGAGGGAAACAAAAATAAATGTGCCTGAGGGTAGTGTGCTGTAGTGTCCAAGGCAACTCTAGACACTGCAGCCAATCTGCAACTTCTGTAAGATTTGGCACCACTGGATGAGAAGGTAACGAGGGGTCCTTGCACCTCTGGCAGCATCCTTAGGGGCTTTGTGGAGAGATGCTTATTAGAACTGGGATTATTTTTGATTGTTTGCTTGCTTGGTCTTTAAAAAATTAACTTTAAACAAATTTGTTATTTCTTGCATTGGTTCCAGGATGCTCCAAGAATACCAAAATCTGCAGATACTCAAGTCCCTTATAGAAAGTGGTATAGTACTTTTGTTTGTTCTTGAAATAGGGCCTGATAAGTGTAGGAAACAGAATGTATCCATATACTAAGACATTATTGGCCATATAAGAAATAATGAAGTACAATATTGGTAATGCTATATCATAGATAAACCTTGAAAACTTTCTAAGCATGGTGGCACACACTGGTCTGCTACATGAGGAAATAAAGGCACACTGTCTTTTCCTTTTTTTTTCCCCAGTCACAAAGGGCCACATACTACATCTCTATAAAATGTCCAGAATAGGCAAATCGATTTAGAAACTGTATTAATTTCTTATGGATGCCATAATAAATTACTGCAAGCTTGGAGGCTTTGATTTCTGGATCCATGGCTCTTGTGGTCATGGATCTTGTAGTACCAGGGATCAAATCCAGGACTTTCACACTGAAGCTATTGACGGAGCGCTTTTTTTTTTTTTTAAATTTTGAGATTGAATGCCACCAGGTTAATCAAACCAGGCTCAAATTTGTAATCATCCTGCCTCAACCTCCCAGAGTGCTGGGGTCACAGTTATGTGTTACCACGCCCAGTGCTCACATGCTCGCGCAGTCTCTCTCCTCTGTCTGTCTTCTCACTGTTTCTCTCTCATTTCTCACTCTCTGTCTCTATCTCTGTGTGGGTGTGGCGTGTTTGTCTGCCTGCCTGTGTGTCTGTCTGTCTCTCAACAGGATCTTACTTTGTTTCCCAGGGTGCCCTCAAACTTGCAATTTTCCTGTCTCAGCCTGCCAAGTAGTTGGGATTATAGGTGTGCACCACTATTACCTAGCTCATCTTTCCTTGTTCTTGAGGGGTGGCACATATTTGCTGTTAAATAGTGCTATGAGCCTGTTTCTTACTGTAGAGAGTCCAACAGTCTTTTGATTTTTGTATAGTCAGTGAATCTTTTCAGTCCAAGTTGGCAATGTTTCTCAAAAACCTTCTGGGTTTCCTCAGTATATGACAGGAATTGTGCCATTAGATGAGGTTTTTCCATAATCCTGTATAATTTCATTCTGTTTTTACCTTTATAAGATGAGTGAGAGGAGTCATGAATCTCATGTCTGATCTCTTTGGTATTAGCAGTTTATCTAGTCACTCCATTGGTCGTCCGTCATTTTATTTTTCTTTCTTTTCTTATTTTTTTGGAATAGAGTCTCACTATGTAGTTTAGGCTGAGTTTGAACTCACTGACCTTGAGCTCCCAGCAATCCTGCCTTTGCCTTCTGAGTGCTGGGATTACAGGTCTATGCCATTATGCTGGCAGTTAGAACACATTTTCTTACAAGGGATCTCTCAGTTTTAGTATTTTGTTTATTTACTTGTTTGTTTTTTCCAATCTGAGTAACCTGAGAATTTCCCAAGTCAAGTCCAAATTCTTTTTTCATGCTCTCTCAGTTTATCTATTCGTCTCACGTTTTACTACAAGCAGCAGGAAGAAACTAGGCTGAACCATCAGTGCTTTTCTTGAAAATTTACTCAGCCAAATTCATTCACATAATAGATAGATCTTCACTTTCTCTGAGGCAGAATCTACTTAGCAAAGTCTTTACATTCCTGTTTCTATCAGCAGCCTGTCAAGACAATCTAGGCCTTTTATATTGTGCTTTTCAAACTTCTGGCCTGTCCTGATCAACCAGTTCCAAAGCCACTGCCACATTTTAAGACACTTCACTCTTGGTAATAAAATCTATGTTTATTTCTTGTATTTTCAGTAACAAATTAATACAGACTTACTTGTTTAAAAGAACAGAAGTTTAGTCTCTCCTAGTTTTCAAGCCAGAAGTCTGAAATCAGTATCCCTGGGCCAAAATCACTGTGCCAGCATGGCTGTGCTCCTGCTGAAGGCTCTCAAGGAGAATCTCCCTGTATCTTCCAGTTTGTGGTGGCTGGTGGTATTTTTCATTTTTTATCGGTACCAGGGATTGAACTCATGACTGCCTGCTTGCAAGGTAGGCGCTTATGCCGCTGAGCTAAATCCCCAGCCCCTTGGCTGGTGGTATTTTTGTATAGGGTTTAGTCTCTCCTATAAGGTAGAAACTCTTTCTGCTCTGTCTTTATATCCTTCCTGTGTAGCTCTAGCGGGCCTTGAACTCATGGCACTCCTCCTACCTTAGCTTCCCAAATGCTGGGATTACAGGTGTGCACCACCACACCCAGCCACCGTGCTTTCTTGAATGTGTAACTTCGTCTGCTTCCCTCTCAAGGATACACGAGATGCAGTTAAGATCACCAGGATAATCTAGGATATTCCCTTTATTGAGACCCATAATCTCCACGTATTTCCAAAGATGCTTTTCCTAAGTAAGGTCACATTTACAGAGCCCATGGACTCAGACCTGATGTGTTGGTCCATTATTTAGTATGCTACAAATGGAAAGTTGATTAGTGATTGCCTAGGGCCATGGGTGCTGTGGGGGAGTTTCCTTTTGTAGTGATGAAAATATTCTAAAATTGTTGGAGATAATGTTGCAAACTCTGGCTATATATTCAAAACTATTAAGTGCTATATTTTATCATGCATCTTTTTTTGGGGGGGGGTACTGGGAACTGAACTCACACCCTTGCACTTGCTAGGCAAGTGCTTATGCTGCTGAGTTATATCCCCAGCCCTGAGTACTACATTTTAAATGGGTGGATTTTATGAACAGTGAATTATGTCAGTAAACCTATTAAATATTTTTTAATGGAATCAATTCCTATGGACCCACTGCATGGGCCTTGAAACTCCTGAACTGATGTCTGACTCTTACCCGCCTGCCCTTCAGTTGTGAACTGGGTGTGAGACTGAAATGGAAGAGTACTGCATTTTTGTTAGCAAGAGTGCATCCAAAGTGTCCCTTGGTATTTCTGGGTGTCTTGATATTCCTACAAGGCCAGTGTTGTGTGGTTGGGGGTTTGGAGAGTGGCAGCCAGACTGTTCCTGTGTAAAACTCTCCATTATTATCTGATGGTTCCATTGTTTAATTATGGATTGCAAAATAGTAATTGTCCTTAATTACTTCTCTCACATTTATAACATGGGATGTTTCTGTCAGGAAACTTTTTCTCACTGAGCATAGTGGTGTATACTTTGGAAGCTGAGACAGGAAGATCACAAGTTCAGGCCCAATTTTGACAGTTTTGTGAGACCTTATCTCAAAAATACCTAAGAAGCAGGGCATGGTGGTACATGCCCATAATCCCAGCACAAAGGAGGTGGAGGTAGTAGAATCACCGGAAGATTTAAGTCAGCCTAGACTACATAGTGAGTTTAAGGCCACCCTGAACCACATGGTGAGACCCTGTCTCAAGCAAAACCAAACAAAAACCAAACAAGAACTGAAGGTATAGCTCAATGACAAAGTGTCCCAGGATGAAAAAAAAGAGGATGCAAGTCAGGCATGGAGGCATATGCCTGTAAGCCAAAGTATGAGCCCATCTTGGGCAATTTAGCAAGACCTTAATCAAAATAAAAAAGGGCTGAGGATGTAGCTCAGTGAGTTGGCCCTAGAGCCAGTCCTCAGTGCCAACAAACAACAACAAAGACAGCACTTTCTGTGCAAGAATGTTCTTGTCAGTCTTTCCAGTGAAGGACTGCCCCCAGAGGAGGCTCCTTTCAGTAACATTTTAAACTCAGCTGTGTATCTGGCATGCTTTAGTCTGTTTCATTGTGTACAGTCCACACACCCAGTGTGAGCTCCTGAGGCCCTTCCTATTCCTCTTGGGGCTCCTTATGTGACCCTTTTTTTTTTTTTTTTTTAAAAACATGACTGCTTTTAGTGTTTTGTAGCTTGCTGGCCTTTACGCCCCCAGATGGCTTGTCTCTAACGTCCTTTTTTGAGGGTGAAATGGTGTGCAGATTATGCAGTTGTGGGCACTATTCTGCTTATTACTTTTGGACCTTTTTGTAAACAGATGTAAGAAATAACATGTGTTTGAAATAAAAACAAAAAAGCCCCATAATTTCACACTGATGTTTCCAATTCAAATTAACTTTATGAGTTTTCTTTCATTTTAAACATCTGTTCCATAGCTATGACTATCTTGGTTTCTAATATGATTAGTGTACTGCTTGCTTTATTCTCAGATATTTTCAGAATAAACAGGTTAATAGCATCACTAATGACAAAATGTGGTTTAAAAGTTTAAGATTCTTTTGTAACCCTGTTTGTTCTCCAAATGTATACCTTCCATTGAGAATATGCAGTTTTTAATTCTTGGTTTCCTTCCCCACCTCCCCTTAGAACCACTCAAAATACTTTTTCCTGTATGATTCTGCCACCAGCTTTTCAACTTATTTGTTTGGGTGATTTTGAATTTTTAGAAATTGTACCATTTTTTCTGATTTTGTTCTGTCTTCTCAGTTGTGCAAATTTGACATTATTTCCAAAGTGAAGACAGGGAACAGGTCTGGATAAGCTAATTTCCAGTCCACTTCCTGATACTTGTGTATCTGTGATTTTGGCTTATCCTCCTAGTGTTTTACGTGGATACTTAAGTAATTCTCATTCTCTGGGTCTTAGACAAAAAGCAGGGGGTAGCACAGTATGTGATAGGTGGTATTTTATAAGTGTGCGTGTTTCTCTTCTGCTTTCTCCTTCTTAGTGCTTACTCCATGATATATTGTTGAGCCTCTGAAGACTTGTACTGTACACATCAAGCAAATGTTCAAAGTTGTGAAGTTTTTCTGTATTATTTGGTGTGAGTATGTGGTGTGTGGTATGGGGATCCAGTACCTCATGAGTGCTAAGTAACTGCTGTACACCCCCAACTTCTCTAGTTTAAAAAAATTTTTTTTCTCATCCATGGATCAAGGATGTCAGTTGTATATGCCTTATTGAGTTGCTGGGAGAATTAAAGATATTAAAGTGTGAAGTTTTTATAGCTGTGCCTGGCACTTTATAACTATATAAGTATTCACTGTTCTTCTTACAGGATTTGTCATTCATGGTCTAGTAAGACCCAGTCTTGGGTACAACTTGGGCATTTAAATTTTTGATAGTGAAAAGAAGAGATGGAGCAAAGATAAACACAGTTACATACTCCTCAGCCCATTTCTGAAACTGTCCTTGCAGTTAGGGTGCTTTGGAATGGAAAGAAATATCATCACCTCCTCTCTGTCTGGGGAGGGCCTGGGAATTCTCCCACCTTTAAATGTCAGTATGTCAGCATTTCTGGACAGTGAGAAGCTGGAGGGTGAAATGCAACCCAGCCCAGAGATCAGACCCAGGGATCTATAGAAAGGACCCAGGGTCAGCCCGTTTGATCCTGGACGATTTGCCTTAGGAGAATGTAGGAAAGCCTCTTGGCTATCAGGGTGACTGCTTCCTGTTCCCCATTGTCGTATAATGTAACTCATCCCTTTCTCATTTGCAGAGCCATACTGTACCTCAATGCCCATCCCTGCTGTAGGCCAGAAATGGCACTAGATACCCATCATGGTGATATACATATAGCACTAGGCACTGAGCTGATAGTAGGTCCTGCCTCAGTTTGGAAGGGGCTTGAGAACTTGTTCCTCAAACTCTTTAGCATATCCTGTGTTAATGTGAACATAGTTTATTCTGAAACCTACTTCCTCCTGTTCTGTGCTTCATGGTAGTATTTCTGTATTACATAAAAAATTCTATAGCATCATAGACCTACAAGATAGTCCAAAGTGCTAATGAGAGGTCAGGTATGGACTTACCTAGCTTCCAGGTTCTCTTTCTTGCCAGCTTGACTGCCTTGTTTCCATTTCTGAGCTTTCTCTGGTCCCCTTGCACCTACTGCACTGTTCCCAACTCACTACACTGCTATCATTTAGGGACTGGCTATTATCAGTCAACTGACTGTGGAGGGCCCCTTTACCCTGGGAACATTGACTTTCCAACTGGAAATTGACTGGGTCACTGGAGGTTGAGAGTGTTGGCAGAATCTCTCAGTGACCCTTTCTGGCAGTTTCTCCCTTATTCCTCTCTGTCTCTGTTCCCTTGATAGCAAATTTCCCAGCTTCTCTTTTCTGGTCCTTTTCCCTTCATGTTACCTTATTCTGATTCTCATAAGTGAAAAACAGTGGTGCGTTGGTGTGCAGAGATGGTTGATACGTATTAAGGGTGTAGATTAGTGCTCTTTAACTTCCACCCTTATCCAGTCCACATTTGTTTTCTGTCCCAAACCCTTGCTGTCTTGTCTGTGTGCTAACTGGTGAACTTAGTACCCTAGTGATTTGGGAGGTCAATTGTGTGAGCAGGGCAGAAAGACGGATGCCTAGCAGGAAGAGGGTGGCATTTCTATGGAGGGGGATAATGCTTCTCTGAAGTAAGATTTAACTCAGGCACCACTTCCTTGGCCATAGAACATATTTACTGTGATGATTTATCTACAAAACCCAAGTGAGTGTCCTTGAGTGCAGAAAGGACAATTGTTGGAAGGTAGACCCTACCAAATCCTTCCAGAAACATGGACAGAGGGCTTGAGCAGGCAGTGGCTTTCACAGGCTGCCTTCCAGTGTTGCTTGCCTTCATCTCTTGCTGGTGCAGGCACAAAAGAACATAGATTCTCTTCAGGTACAGCCAGATATGCCCCATGCAGATTTGTGTGCATGTAACATGTCAGCAGAGGAAAGGCAGCAACAGGCTGGTCATGAAAAGTGGAAGTGTTTCCATTCTGATAGGCAAAAACAACAGTGGTGTTCCTGCATCTGTTTTGGATAGGCTTTGTGACCTCAGGCCAGCTCCTTTGCTCTCTGTGACAAGAAGAGCTTGAAATAGCTCCCAGCTCTCGTAGCTGCATGCTCTTTCCATTAGGGTGGAGCCGCTGCCTTTTGAAGGCTCCCTGTGCTCTTCTTGTGTCTTTGTTTCTGCATTGGCTTTGTTTCTGTTATTGGCTGCAGAGTAAGGCACTGACAACACTTCTCTGAGAGATGGATTCCAGAGGATGCTAAGCCAGGTGGAGCAGCTGCAACCATTTCGGTCAGCCCCACAGGCCAGCAGGCTTGCAGGAAGAACCTCAGCTGGGTGGCTAGGCAGGGTGATGGGGTGGGAGGGGGAGTCACATGGCTATGCTTCTCCATTATGGTTTAAACCACTTCCTGTTTTTACTTTTAGGACGAATACCTTTCCCTCGTGGCCAGGCTCATTATCCATTTTCGAGACATTCGTAAGTAAGATTTCACATTTATGGATTGTTACAACCTGTGGGAGAGAGACCAGGTCTTTTGCTGTCTGGTGGAGGCTGTCTGGGTGGGCTGCAGCACCTGAGTTGGAATATGCCTAGTTCTAGGTAGTTCCTCACTACCCCCCTCCTCCCCCACTCCATCCCCCACCGCTACTCCCACGCCTCAGCCTCAAAAATGCAGATTCTCACATGGTGAGAATGGTGGCTTAAAAGTAACCAAAATTGAGCTGCTGTTCTAACTTGTCCACTTGATTTCTTTTTTTATAGTACTTGCTTTTAAACCTCCAGGCAATTCTTAAATAAGCCATTTATCCTGGAACAGACACCTTCCAATTGGTTTTATGATCCCGTGGAGGTTTGACCTAGTGTGTGTTTCCATGAGACTGAGTTTCTGAAGTTGGCTTCCTGAGTCCCTAACCCCTTGCTCCTGTCTGTCCTGAGGTTCCCCTCACCTTACACATTGTATCCCCTCTGATTCAGAGTGTCCACTGTGGTTCGATCTGGCCAGGTAGTGGCCCCAGCTCTTCAAAAATGAATTAAGACAACTTGAGAAGTGAGAAGTCTCAGCATTTTTGTGTATTTTGTGGAAGCATGTCACCCACCCTGGATAGCTGTGGCCTATGAGGGAAACTGGAGCTAGTGACCACTTTGGGGTCCAGCCAGCAACCCTCTTACCTATCTCATTTGTGTAATTGGTAGAGATGGGCTTCTCCTGACACAGGCTTGTCACCATTCTCCTGTAGCTTAGTGACAGTTAGAACATGGGTTATAGAGGCAGCTGCAGCTTCATTGTCTCAGTTGCTGAGGGCATAGAGAAACATTGAGAGCTTGAGGTCAGTATGGCTTGCTTTTTCCCACACTAACTTCTTACCACAATGGCTAGCAAGGTAGACTTCATGGAATCTCCTTTCTTTGGGGTGTGAAAAGATCTGGGAAATGGGGGAGAAGAGAATCCAGGAATCTGGGAACCAAAAATCCAGATGTCCTGGTTTACACACACACAAACACACACACATGCGTGTGCATACATACACACACATATACTTGCCCCTGCTCTGCTTATCAGGACAGTTGCCTGATGACACATATGATCCTGAGGATCTGATTGGCTCACATGGAGGCCAGCTGGACCTGGCCTCCAGCCAACCTCAGGCATCTTTGGTTTTCTTACCTAGGAAACCAAGAGTGGGCTGAAATGGAGGTGTTGTCAGGTGCTCAGCTCCATAACAGGTTCCTATTGCTCTTTTGTTTGTGGCCCAGAACCCAAGCTGAGATCCTAAACCTAGAAGAAAAGAAAAGTAGAATGAGCCGGTAGGCCTAGAACCCACCCCAGGGTGCCACAGCCTTGCAATAGTTCCATGAGGCCCCAGGTGGACCCCTGCATGGGTCTATGTCCTGTGCCCACAGAGCCCCTGTGTTTTGTGCTGCCAGGAGCAGACATTTCCTCCCCTGGTTATCAAAAGTACCAGTGGTTTCTTGGGGATGAGGCTGTTGCTTTGCGTTGTTTTTAGGCAGGGTCAGTTTAGTCTTAGTTACTGGTCAAATACCTTACAAAACTGAGTCTCCTGTGGAAATACATGTTTCTATAAAACTTTTGTTTACTTTTCTTTTTTTCTGTTTGTATTTTATACAGATAACAAGAAATCTCAAGCTTCTGTCAGTGGTAAGAATTTTTTCTTTTGAAATAAAGTTTTTCCAAGTCTCAGACTTGGGCAGCAAGTGTGAGGTGGTACATGCTTCTTAGTGTGCCTGGATTAACATTTTGCTGGAGGAGAATGTTCCTCTCTGGCAGGGTGGAGGCTTACCCTTTTGTTTTCCTGCAGAATGAAGTCAGATGATGTCTTTTCATCCTGTTTTACCAACAAAAAGATCATACAAACTCACAAAGCTATTAATTCATTATCTAAAAATTTTGAGCTCTCTGGGGGAGAATTATTATCATATATTCAGTATAATGATCTCTAGTAGCATGCCTTACAGAGTAGATATAAGTTAAGTTCCTTAAGTTATAAGATTTCTTTGCAAAGTGAGAAATCTTTCCATTTTAATTTCAAGATTTTATCACATCAGGGGAATTCTACCAATTGAATCCTGGTCTCTGCTGCCAGGGATAAGGCTGTGCCAGATTCAAACTGACCTTGATCTCCAGCCTTTCAGGAAGGGTGTGATCTGGCACTACAGTCTGTGTATCTGTGGGTCCTGTTCTACACAGGGAGCTGTAAATGATGGGTGTCCCCTGCCTGTGTAGGCCCTACCTTAACTTGTACAGTGATTCATAGCCTGTCAGAGCTGAGAGGGTTAAGTATGTGTGGCGAATATTCTGTGGCAGTAGAGTGTGGGGTCCTTGGTACTATCCAATTTTATGGAAAGGTAACCCAGCCAGACCACACCTGTTTGCAGGCTACTGTTTATCATGAGTACACACTCATGTGATGATGGCATTAGGTGATCTGTGGTTGTGACATTGCTCACTGAGCTGAGTGTGCTTTCCTGAAGAGCTTATCAAGCCTAGTTTGCCTCTCAGGACTCTGTGAAGCTCTCCTGCACACCTTGGTCTCTCTGGTATATTGCTTCTGGCTACACAGTTGTATTGGGACAGCATCCTGCAGAGACTTGGCAACAGAGGTGGGGCCCTGGTTTGTCAGCCTACATGTGCCCTCCTGGGAGCGTGTCTGCCTAATTCCTCCTGCTTCTGTGCTCTGACCACAGTGCTCCTAGCTGCTGGGGAGAAGAGCTTCTTCTTGTGCTTTGTTTCTAAAAGTCCCTACTGTACGATCAACCAGTATAGAATCTGAACAGTCAGATCAGTTCATGGCTGCCATTTGCTTTTCAGGCCTCAGCCCATCTTTAGACTAACTGCCAGTGTCAGGGGATCATTTCTTGCCCAGCACTAGAACCCTAACCCAGGTCAGAGGAAGAGTGGGGTGTGCTCTTGCTTTTATGTGGCTTGTGTTTCTGGTAGCATTGATCAACATACATATCCTGGCTCTGGGACTCTGGCTGTCAAATTTTGGGGCTTCCTGGAGGTAAAAGGTATAGATGAGAGAGTGTCTGTGCCCTGTGAGGCTCACACCTGTGAACCTGTTCAGTCCTGGGTACTTTGTTGAGATGCTACCTGCTTATGTTCCCGCAGACCCCATGAATGCATTGCAGAGCCTCACTGGCGGACCTACTGCAGGAGCAGCTGGAATTGGCATGCCTCCTCGGGGTCCAGGACAATCCCTGAGCGGGATGGGTGGCCTTAGTGCCATGGGACAGCCAATGCCTCTCTCTGGACAGCCACCTCCTGGGACCTCTGGGATGACTCCTCATGGCATGACTGTAGTATCCACAGCAACTCCACAGAGTGAGTACCACACTTCTAAGAGAATTTTTGCCACCTTCTTTTTACAACACTGCATGTTACTCCTTTGCTCATGATAATATTAAGAAAATCATGGATATAGAGAAGCTCCAGATACCCCTGTCCTTTTGTCTCTTTTAGCTTAGTATGGAGAGAAAAGTTCCAAGCTCTGTTTGAGCCACCAGAAGGATTAAATGAAACTGGGCCCTCCATTTTTTCATTTCTGGGGATTGAACTGAGGGTATTCACACTGAACTATATCGCCATCCCTTTTTGCTTTCTATTTTGAGATAGAGTCTCCCTGAGTTGTCCCACTTGGCTCATACTTATGATCCTCCTGGTTCAGCCTCCCAGAGTGCTAGGATCACAGCGTGCACCACCATACCTGGCACAACCAGCCCCTCTTCTTAGCCCTAGATGGGGGTGGGGAGGGCCTTGGCAAACATCCAGTGATCCTCTTGCCTCAGCTTCCTGAGTGCTGGAATTACGGGTGTGCACCACCACCCTTGCTTGGCTTGTGTTTTATCAAAGGAAGAGAAACTGTGTTTTAGGCGGTTCTTAGTGACAGAGCAGTGTAATGTCAGTACTCCATGACCCCATGATCTGTCCCAAGGTCTAGAGCTATTTCTTCTGCTTCTATAACTTCCTGTCCCTTGGGCGGTTCGGGCTTATGACTCATAGCCACATCTTCATTGGGTTCTCCTTCCTTGCAAGAGGTGCTTTTGTTCTTTGTAGGTCTACCCTTGATCCCTGCGTGTTGCTATCTTGCCCAGGAATGGGAGTGGGGCTGTAGTAAAGTGTTCTAGTTGGACCAGAGCTATTCTCAGAGAATCAATGAACTGCTTCCTCTTCTTTTTAAGACCCATCTTGGTGTCTGTCTGATTTCCATGAATATTTATTCAGTATTTGTAATGTGCTGTACCCACTGCAAAGTGCTTCAATACTTTTTGTCCTTTATGTAACTTTATTTTTTATATAGTTTGATAGACAGGAAGTTATAGAATAGCACAGAGTGGAGCTGGGTATGGTAGTGCACACCTATAATCCCTGCACTCAAAGGTTGAGGCAGGATGATTGTTGCAATTTTGAGACCAGCTTGTGCTAAAAGTGAGCTCAAAGCCAGTCTGAACTGCATAGCGAGGCCCTATCTCTACAAGAACCCCCCCACCCCCGCCAAAAAAGAATAACATAAGAGTGTTCCCATGTGCTTCCCCTAGTTATAATGTCCTGTTTAGTATGATGCCAAAAGCAAGAAATAGTATTGGGCAATAATACCAATTCGGATCAAGACTTCATTTTTGTTTTGATTTTTGTAACCCAAGCTGGCCTTGAACTCATGTTGATTTTCTTGTCTTAGCCTCCTAAGTGCTGAAATTACATGTATGAGTCATCACGCCCAGCAAGACTTTATTTAGAATTATTAGTTTCTACATGCATTCCCAGATGTGTGCACACAGATATGTGTAGCTCTGAGATTTTTCATGTGGAATCCATCAGCCATCAGTGCAAACATCATGCAGAGTCATTCTATCATTCTCACTAACTTTGTTTTATGTCTTAGGATTGACATCCTTGTTGAGCCTTAACGACCACTCATCTGTCATTCCGCCCTACAGTGTGTCACTTTATGATTCTGGTAGAAATGAAATCATAGTGTGTTTTTTTGAGATTGGCTCTTTTATTCCTCATTATCCCATTGAGATCAATGGGGCATAAACTCTATGTGTGTAAGAGAAAAAAAAGTAGGATTCTCACTGAAAATGCTGTATCAGGAGTAACCAATGAAATTTGAAAAGGAGCTAATGGAGTTTATAGAAATGAGAAGTACAGTAATTGAAGGGAGAATGTGTGGATGGGCAGATTTGATATAGCTATTGATAGAACTGTGGGGGACCGGCGGTGGCTGAAAAGATAAGAAGTATGAAATATAAATAACCTGTATTTTGAGAATGTGGGGAGAGACATCCCCAATCCCCTGGGGCGTGGCATCTCCCCCCGCCCCCGCCGGGGTGATCCGTGGAACACGTGGAGCGGAGGCATATAAGCAGCCTAGGTTTGTGATGAACCTAAGGGTCATTAGTGATGCACGGGTAGCCCATTAGTATTCTTTTGGCACCGTAGGTAAATTCCTAGGGGTGGGGGAGATGGAGCTCCTTGGTTCTGCCTGAGGCTTTACCAGTTACAGTGTCTTGTCTGGGCCAAAACTCTTTCATATTCCATCTTATGATTATTATTATGAAAAGGGGCGAAGATTTCTCTCTTTACTGCTTCCTGCTGTAAAGGGGCACTGTACTGGGGTCTAGGGGAGTCGACAGGATGATGGTTGATGCCCAGGTAGAAGCTGGTGCCAGGTGTTTTAGCCAGGACAACTTCACTGGTGAATGCACGTATGTTAGACTGGAAAAACAAAGAGACAAGATGTTATGAGGAGGCATGGCACTGTCATATTTAAGGACCCAGGTGAGGTAAAAGGAAAGGAACCTTTGATTTAGATATGTCATTATATCAGGACCATGTTGAGGTAGAATCATTGCCACAGTAAGGTAGAATTCTGAAAAATAAATGTGGGGTTAGGAGGAGTGAAGTTATGAGAGGTGATTACTCCCCCATCTGAAAGGGTAAAAGTTAAGAGGGTGGGTGGGTAAAACTTGTCTCTGGTCCAGGAGTTGAACTGGAAAAAATAGGGGGAGCAGGGAAGGTGGTGGCTGTACCAGTATAGGGAAGGTAAGGGCCTAGGCTTTCAGAGATGTCACGTTTAACCAAACAGCTGAGGGTAGAAAGACGTAAGACAGTTGTCACATAGAACATTATGAAGATGATCTTATGCATGATGTGGGAGTCTTTAGGAAATACTGTTAAGAGTCCTGCTATAAAAAGAATAAGAAATTAAAAACCAAATTGGATAACAAAACATGACAGCCTGAGAGTTGTGACTGTGAGGCCTTGGTAAGGCAGAGATGAATAGGCAAAAGGATGGTGAGATCTAGGGCTGGAAGGGCACCACTTAGCCTGAGTGATGTGAAACCAGGATGGCAGTCTAGCAACTTTGATCACTGTTGAGGTTGCCAAGAATATCAGGTATGGGTCGCTGTAACCTGGTTGTAGTCCTTGGAATGATTTGCTGTAATAGGACTTTACCAAGTATATCAGCAGTCTCCCTGGTTGTGTGAAAGGCCTTTATGTATCCTGAAAAAGTATAAACAAAGTGAGAAGACAAAATTTATCTGTCAATCTTGGCCAGGGTTGCTTGAGAAGTTGGTGAATAAGAAAGGAAGGAGGTGGTTTAATATCATTGAGGAGAAGTTTACTAGCAATAACAGGAGTAAGCTGTTGAGGCTTCAGTGTCTGGGTCAGCCTGTATAAACACAAGGGAATAAAAGACATTTTTAAGATTTAGGACGGTAGAATGAGTGGTGGAGGGAAGATTTGGCACCACTGGGTGTACTGGGAAGAAGCAGTCTGGGACCTGCACGAAATAGGCCTGTTCATAAATGGCATAGGTTGACCTTTAATAGCCCTAGAGTTTGAGGATTTAATATTAGCAGCCTGAAAACTCAGGAGGAACTCTGTATATATGGCCTCTATGTCCACAAGTATAGAGAATGTCTTACCTGAGACTTTTAGTGGGACTTGGACTCTGAGACAGACACCTTAAAGGGGGCTGTTGTTGGCCCTGTGCCCCGTCAGTCTTTAGCAGCAAGTTTAAGCAGATCTGTCTGCGATGAATCTGACAGTGTTGACATTTCCTGTGAGGGCTAGAAGTTAGGATAGCTTACCCACTCTCTGGTGGCTAGGACAGTCCAGTAGCCCTGGGGTAAGGTCTCAAAGGAACACCAGGATGGGGCACTCTCTTGCCCAATGTCTTCTGCTACATTTGAGGCATGGTCCATGGGGGGTGCCCAGGCAGCTCCACCTGTGTCGGTTTACCTGTCTCAGAACTCCAAGTGTCACAACATGGTCCTGATATAATGACATATCTAAATCAAAGGTTCCTTTCCTTTTACCTCACCTGAGTCCTCTGTTGTTGAAAACACGAAAAGCCATATTCAGGTCTCTATGAGTTTTGAAGTTCAAGTTTTGCCTTTTTGTTTGGGATTTGGACTACAGTAGAAGGTATCTGTAGAATTAAGTAAGTATGCAGGAGTCAAATATAGTCAACAGGGTATTTATTATTTTAGTAATGACTTCCCATAAGGAGGACAGGTCCAGAGAATTTTAGGAACTGACCTGTTATTTATGTCATATATATAAGTATCTCTTTATGTTATTAAAATGTCTAATGCCATCTGATTTTTGGAGGATGGCCTGTTTAATTTTTACCTTTTTATTTAGGAGAGAAATCAGATGTGGTGTTATTTAATATCAGTTGAATATAGTTAATTATGGCTTGGTGGAGAAAGGAATTCATAAATACCTCTTAATTTTAGTTGTTAAACAGGAGATCGGTCAGGGGCCGGGGATTTAGCTCAGCGGTATAAGCGCCTGCCTTGCAAGCAGGCAGTCATGAGTTCGATCCCTGGTACCGATAAAAATGAAAAAGACAAAAAAAAAAAAAAAAAAAAAAACGAGATCAGTGACAATACAGTATAATATAGGCAGTAAGCTTAACATAGAACATTACTGGTGGTTTATAGCAAAAGGAATTCATAAATATCTCATAATTTTAGTTGTTAAACAGATTACTGAAGGCTTTAATTGATAAACAAGGCTGGTAAAATTACCAGATGGCCAGTTTCCCGTTTACCAGCCAAAGTCTTGTCTATTGTCGGCTTATTTAACCTTGATTAAATGGTTTGAGAATGTAAAAAATAGCATCTCTGATCTGAGCCGCCAAGCTGCTGTTTATCTGTGTTTGTGGTCCAGCGCACCGGCAGAGCACGCCCAGCGTGGGGGTGGTGCACGCACAGTGAAGGTGGGGTGAGCACCCGGACGTACAGCACGGGGCAGGCTGGGAGGCGGACTTGGGACGCGGCGGGAAGCTGGGACCTTACATGCTGGCGGAC